ACTTCATACAGAAAGAAAAAATCCCCATTCAAACACTTGACTGTAATCATTCTAAACAGACATTTGAAGAAACTGTGTGAACTACTGTATAGCAAAGATAAAAGTAGTAAATTAAACAATAATGCAAGGAAGGCAGGAGCTTAAGATTTCTCTACAAATATTGATCAGGAAGTCAAGAGCATTAAATAAAAGGCAAGGGAAAATTACTGATCGGACAAACAGAAACTGAATCTTCAGCCTGTTTCAAGATTATGACCTCTGTCCTCGACATCACGTTTAACACTCTGTTGTCATGCATAGTTTACACTGAAACAGAGAAGAGCAGCGGGCAGACTCCAACTATTCATCAGTCAGCACGTGTTGATCCATGCATACAGCTGCACAGAAATGCAATAACACGTGGAAAATATCTGATCAATGATATAATTTCTATGAGTTTAAATCAAAAAAAGAAGGATGTCAAGCTAGAAAGTAAGCTACTAGCATAAAACAGGGATGTGAGGTCTCTTTTTTACGACAGGGTTCAAGGAAGGCCAGTTTACCACAATGCATTGCACCTGTAACATCCTCCAATAACATGAAGGCTTTTTAACGGTTTTTCAAAGCTTGACAGCATAAAGTAAATGACACACTGTTGTCAATACTGTTTTAACACAACTGAACACATTAAGCTTCAGAAAGGTAGTATTTATTGCAGGGCTATTGCACTGGATTGCACTACCTTGTATTCAGGATATTTTGTCAATTTCTCCCACAGTGAGTTGCACATCTACTACATTAATATCAGAGTGTACATTTAAAATTCCATAAAACTTGCCAAAACACAGGAAAAAAATCTAAGTTTAGATGTTGCAGGAAAGAACGTGCACAAAAGAAGTGGAACACTGGCTGCTCTACATGGTAACATTCGCATTCATAAAGCAATTATGACCTACATGTACCATTTGAGATCAACTTAAACCCTAAAGTCTGATCTGTTGTAAGGAATTTTGAGTGAGGGGGTCACCGTCTGAGACCTGTATGTCTTTCACTTCCTCCTGCTGGGGCTTTTAATCAGAACAAGTTCTCTCTAAAAAAAAAATAAAAAAATCTGAGGGCAGACCTCGCTGAATGTGCACCGCCCCATCTGCACCGGCTTCTTTGTCCCCACAATAAACATGGCCTCGGACTGCTCATTCCAGCCCTGATACTGGCCTCTGCTAGACAAAGGGACAGCGAGGCACTGTGCCAAATTGACTCGTCCCTAATTTTTATGCTAATCCTCAATTTTACATCAGACAGTCCCCACATTTGATATAAAAGATATTAAATAAATAAATACAGAGAGACCCAGATAATCTGTTCATAAAGACGTCTTATCCTTTGACAAGTGGAGATGTCTGCTGATGGCTTTACGTATTTGCATGTTCAAAATGCTGACAACAACCAATCAGCAGTGTCTTTATTAAAATTAATGTTTTAATGAAAAATAATGCTGTAGCAGCCTCAAGGTCAGAGGATTTCACCACTTGAATTTTCACTACAAGATGCTGCAACCTACAGGGAATTACATAGGCGCAATAAGATAATGTTAAAATCAACCCTGATAACAGTTATTAATTAGTCTTTCCTCCATATTTCCTTTTTCAATCAAGTGTATAGTTGACCTCAAGTGAATCTTTATGAGGAAAGAGTCTAAGCACTACCCAGTTTATGTAATTACTGTCACAGTCAGTGTGAACAGTGAGATAGAACAGAAAAAGTGGGATTAACCATTTTTTCTCAAGTCACTGAGGTCAGGAGATAATAACAATGTAACTCTGGTATGACTGAATTCATAAAACTAAAACATTTACATTACAAAGTACAGCATTACAACAATTATATAATCTACAAATGTATCCCCACCCTTTTTATATTGTTTCATTAATCCTCTTAATACCCAGACAATGATTAATTGTGCAAAATAAGACAGTGGCAACGGGTCTAGATTAAATGTTTTGCAGTAAAAGGACATTTTGGAATTAAAAGGCTTTAATAATTGCACAAATCATCAACTGGGAATAAAACTTTATTTGCTAAAAATATGTAGCCAGAGTTAATGTCAATATAAAGAGGTAAAGGGTTAATTTCGTTTTTCTTCTGTGTCATATTCTAATATTGTTTAATGTAATATACAGCAGACAAACGCCTGTGTCCTGTCTGAGTCTGTCACAATAATGTGTCTAGTATGTTTTCACTGTAGCCAAGCTGACTGAAAATCATAATCACTAGCCAAGTTTAAGGCCAAATAGGGAGCTTCTAAACCACATTCAGGATTCAGGACAACTTTATCAGCACCGGTAATGTTGTTCTTTTTTTCCTCCGTGGTGGGCCGAACTCAAACAGAAGCCATCTAAGAACTTTTTTTTTTACAAAACTAACATCTGGAGTACCAGACAGGTCCACAACTCTAACCACAAACCCCCACAGACAGCAGTGTTTTCAACCTGACAGTGTGCTCACTGCTTGCTGAATTTCATAACCGTTTCCCCTGTTTTGGAAATCTAGGGCTCTCGGGGGGTTTGAGGGTAGAGGTTTAGATAATGTTCACATCACAACACACCAGATGGGGAGGAGGTAGGTACAGTATATGGACGGGTGTCATGTTCTACCTTGATGATTTTGATGAAGATGATTTAACCCAAATAAACTGCACTCAATAGTAATGGCTATGTTTTTTTGTAGAAAGAAAGAATGAATAAATGTATATAAATTAATGAAATAAAATAATAAAAATAGTCAATCATAATCACAGAGATACAGGGAATTTGTATTTCTTTACACTAAGTTGTGTATTGTTTTACTATAAATTGCTACAGTCATATGCAAAAATGAAGCATGAATGACTGTAAAAATATTTTTGGCAAATAGAGAGTGGTTTCTCTTAATTTACATAAACCATCCCTTCATTGTGTTTCCTTGAGTCATGTTTCTGAACAGATAAATATGGCCATATGCTAACAATGAAACACACACTTTATTTCTTTACTTGTCCGAACAAGCTTTTACATATTATATCTTACAATATGAGCCTGTCCCTCATCAGATATTACTCATCAATGGTGATTGAATGGATACAGTTGTTGCACTGTGGAGTCATATGTGTCTCATGTAAAACAGACAGTTACGCTCCGTAGAGCACAGCCGCTGTGTTTGCTCAACTAATTCTACATTATTTTAAATCATCTTTGTCTGACATCTAAACCTTAATAATGCAAGACTGTGACCCTATTGCAATGGAACAAACACTAATTAAATAAAGTTACATGTACAAATAATAATCTTGAAACTCTATTAGTGAATGTGTTTATTACAGATTAACTGCAGCACTAGAACCTTTTTCATACAAACAGACCATCAGCTCCCAAGGGGCCTAAAAGAGGCGACAGCACAAGACTTCCTGAACTCACACACGACTGCAAACCACAGTTCTTGCACTGCATGTTTATTAGAAATTAGGCGTGCAACCAGGCCTCTGTCACAATTAACATCTAGAACTTTAACAATGTAAAGTAGCATGGGCCAGAGTTCACCACGAGTGAATGTTAACTTCATTCAAACGTGTAATATGTAATATCTGCCACTATGTATGTACTCACATCAAAACAATAACAAAAGATGTGGTCATTTGGGATAATGTAAGTACACAGGCCTAACGTTTTTAGACATTTTAATGCAGAAATGTTATATATTATACTTAATCTATATCCTAGCCACAGAGGACCCCGTACCTTATTGACCACCAAATGATTTTCCAACCCTTTCAGAGACATGCATGTCACAGCACCATTAGCTGTTGTGAGCAGGTTCTGTAAAGCTTTCTAGAGGTGTGTTCAGACTGAACATGAAGCAAATTTTTTTAGTGGTTGCACAGCTGAATACACAGTGAATGCAAAGATGTGAGTGTATGTGGTAACTAAAACTTCAGCAGCAAAATGTGCAGTTATTACATGGCTTTATGGCTCCACTTAATAAATGTACAGAGGAAAGATAGATAACCAATTGATAAATAACAAAGTACTGTAGTTCCTGGTGAATTGTGATATTAGTCAGAGTCTTGGCTGCCACATAAAAACACACAGTCACTCGTGATTGGCCTATATGTACTACACTAGTTGCAGTTTAATAACAAGACAAAAATTAATTTTGCTTTCAGTCAGAAAACAACTTAGCAATCCGATGTTCTCGTAACTGATAAAAGTAGACCAAAAACAGGATCAGTGTTGCAATAAACTAGAATTACACTTGCCTCTATCTAAGGGTGGATGATCAATATTACTATGTTGTGTCTCAGTGCCTTGTTATGCTTCACATTCTCCAGCTCTTTTTTACATTATTTACTGCTTCTCTATGTTTTGCAGGTGCTGGAGAAAGCTTTGGTGAGGTCTGACCAAACACACATTATACTGTAAAAATATATAACTATGAAAAACCAATATTAAAATACTGTGCTATCCAGCAAATAAAAGGTGATATGTATTCCTTATACAAAAATGTTAAACATTACTAGTGTTTATAATAATTGTGTTTTGTAAGAAAATTAAGGAATATGGTTGGGCTGTTTAAAAGTGAAGTTCGGGTTTTGTGCTGATTTAAAATCAGTCTGCTGTAGACCGAAGGACTACTCACAATCAATACAATGACATTGTTACTCAAGTACACTTGTTCCTGAAGGAAAGCTGTGGAATTCATTGTTTGATGTCAGTAATGGCTGATATTTGTAATGTGGGAGGTTCTGGGCATTTTGGGCCTGGTCTGATCATCAGGCTGTTAACACAGTGAAGACACTGCCTGTGAGACACAAATTACATGCTACAGATAAACCCCAGCTAGCTAGAAGGCTGTTCTTAACTAATATTAAATATAAATGCTAGACACACAGAGGAGGCCAGACCAATCGGTGTCTAAAGTGATGGTATAAAGGTTTAACCTGAAACTGCTTGATATGTGTGATTTAGTGCTTTCTGTTGTGTTGTTACCTGCACTGTCAGAGTGGAAGGGTTCTCCCATCTGTTTGTAAGGGTTGAACTTGGGCTTGGGTGCGACCACAGGGGCAAATTTCTTGGGTGCCTGCTGCTGCGAGATAGAAATGCTCGCACTACCCAAAGACGGAGTAGTCTCCATCCTGGCAGCCACTTGTCCTGTCTGGTCGTTACTGTTCGCTGGATTCCACATGGTTCTGATGAAGAAAGACAAGGTTGGCATAATGTCAGTCAACATAGATGATGGAGACTGTCCAACCACTAAAAAGCCTTTACAGCTAAGGTCAAATAAGACCTTAACTTTGGATCACAATAGGATGAAGCATTTTCAGTTTGAAAGTACTGCCAGCTGGAATCATTGGTAGAAATGATACATAATCTGTTTCTTCAAGTACAGAGACTTCAGTGATGTTGCCAGTGAAGTATGAGGCCCGTAAAAACCGCCTCCTAAGCCAAACTGCAGCAGTCCCTAGAACAGTCATATCCTTTGGTAGATTAGTATTTAACTGCAAACTGCAAAAATGACCACTTTGCTTAAAATAATACACATAATTTATGTTTCTTTATATCAAAACTGACATGCAGCAAAGTGCCACAGGTTGCACTCAAAGCCATGGGATCACAATCTCATTCAAAATAGAATTCAAAATTAGAACATTTAAAAACTACCTGTATTTGTATTCACTTATTTTTGGAACTTTTGTTTGATTTTATGAAAAAACGGGCCACAGACGTAAATTAATTTTGATATTTAATGTGTCAGTTTACGTGGGAACCAGGGAATTCCTGACTTCTGTGTCTTGCCCTCGATACACTTGCATGTGGTAAATAAACTTGGGCAATGGTGGTACCTGATTTAATGTAATGATATACATGCTACATACATGTTTTGTTGTTTATTTTGAAAAATGAAAATGAGGCTAAATTTGCAGCACACACTAACTCACTGTTTGTGTGTACTGGCACAGGACTGGGAACGCTTTAGAACTTGCTTGAGAATCCATCAATTTTTAAGATTTCTTCAGTATTAGAGTAATTCAGTTATAGTTGTCAGTACATCCAATGGTACACAGCATAAAATCAACTGTTAATTCAGCAAACTTACTTTCAAAATGTGAACATAAAACAGGGCTCAGGTTGCTGCCCACAGTTTAACTCATTGTATCCATTGAAGCATTAGATTTCCTGTTTCTTGTCTGTGTACATGTAGACGTAAGACATTTTCCAAAATACCTAAAACAAAAACACTTATATTAATGTTCAAGCTAATATTTATTACATTAAATCAAGTAGCACCATTGCCCGAGTGTATCTGGTGCAGTTAGGCTATAAAGTCAATATCTAAACTTCCTGGTCACACAAATTTGATTGATTTGTTTTTTCCTGTTGGATTCATAAATGATTAATTAATTTCTCTTTTTTTTTAAATTTGTATTTTGGATTCTACATTGAATATAGATAGATATACTTTATACTTTATTGATCCCAAGCTGGGAAATTGAATATGAAAAGAAATAATGCATTGATCACTAAAGTTATATAGGATTCATGGTAATCATTCATCCATCCAATAATTGTTATATGATATTTTGGTGTGTAGTGGACAGACTGACCAACTAACAACGACATTCACTAACATGGCTAAAATAGGAAAGCAGGAAGTTACCAGCTGTATTTCCTTATTTATTCCTTATATAATTGGGCAGGGACAGGCTTGTGTAACTGTGTAAAACAAAACACCTCACATTTGTCACATTGTTTCCCACCATTTCTAAGGACTGGTTCAGGTGGCTGGCCTCCACATGCAGCACAAGTCGTAATTATTATACATGTGTGAGATTCAAGTCTACTTTTTGTATTTCATCTACTGAGTCAGACTATTAAAGCAGCTGGTAATATTGTTTTGTCAAATAAGAAACACACACACGGATCTGACAGTATGCATGTGTCCAATTTAAAAGAGTAACACAGTATCAAAGTGGAAAGAAAATCGCTTTGAACTCTGAACCTCTCATGCTGTCTTGCAATGAGAACAACAAATCAAAAAAGTGATATGTGAGACAAGGAGTGTCGAAAACAATCAAGTATTTTAAAACCAAAATGATTGTGTGTGTTGACGCAGCATCAGAAGAGACATCAGATCAGCGCTACAATAGGACACAGATCCACAAGTCATGTCATTTTCTAATGATACTTATTTGTTCATATTTTTACGATATGTTACACTAACATTGAATTATAAAATAGTATCACATCAAAATGCAGCTAACATCGATATCCAAACTCAATATAATGACTTTAATTTGAATATTATGTTTTATTAAGTGTATTATGTGGCCTAGTGTGGCCTTGATACAGTTACAGTGAAAAGAACACTACAACAGAGTAAAAGAACTTGCTGTGGCTGAGGACACAAACATCCAGTATTTCACCATCGCATTCTGAAATCACTTGAAATATTTGAACTATTTATACGCGGCGCTTTTTCCCATCCATCTTTTTGTTTGTGTTTGTTGTGCTGTGTTCTGATGTTTTTGCTGTTTATTATCCTCAGTCTGACTGATACAGGGTTTACATTCTTTCTCTGGAGCACAGTAGAGGAAGCCCACGCACAATCATCTTTTAATATCTGCTCAAATCCCTGCTCCTCCTGCCGTCTGAATGGTTCTTACTTTTGATATTTTTCTCCGCTCTTAATGCTACGATTCAGACACGCGCTGGTGTCTCACACCCACCTGTCCTTTCAATGCAAATGCTTTCATTTCTCGACACTCAAATGGCTAACAAAACAAAAGATGAATTAAAAGGAGGGAAAAAAGAAGAAATGATCTTAGCATGTGTGAGTAAGACTCAATACACGACATGTTGAATAGAACATTTCTGTTTCCGTATGTGGTTACATTCTTTGATGAAGGCAAATAATTCACTGTGGGATGCCACTTTATGCATACTGGGTACTGCAGTGTACATTAAACCCACTTGTTATTTAAAATAAACTTTCTTCTGATTCACGTGCCAAACCCAACACACTGATAACCTCAGTATATAACCGTACTGGTGATTCATAGATTACATGACTACAGAATAACATTAAAATCTTAAATACATGATTATTATTCTGAACTGTTCAAGTTTAAATTAAATGTACTTTATATTGGAGAAATGGTCCCTATCAGAAATGGTTAACAGCGTGTTCTGTGATATATAAAGAGTAACAAGGACACGGTTTCAGAAAATAAATGTTTCTGTGGAGTTTTTAAGAACCACAATCACTCCCATTGTATTGAGATGGAGGCAGAAATCTCGGTATTATCAGAAACCACAAGCGCGGAGTAGAAATATATGGGTCTGTCTTTGTTGAGCCAACCCTTTTAATATGTTACAGGATAAAGCTGGAGTTAATCAACAGTTTTCTTATTATATCTTGTTCATCATCATGAACACGTCACCCACAGCAACGGTGCAACTCACTGATTGGACAGTTTTTAGATAGCAATGGAGCTCTATGGCACAGAGGAATATGATACATAGAGCTTAGGATACTCACAATATTCGTTATTAGAATCAATTTGTTGGTTTTGGGCCTTTTCATGAACTTTGTTGAAGACGAGAAAAATATAGATTACCTGTCTTATCCTCTAAGACGACAGTTAGAGACTGAAGTTGAGAAGGCCGAGGGGAAGTGAGGAGGAAAAAGTCACTCAGCAGTGCAGTACATGACCACTATTCAAACATAACAGTATGTTTATTTATCTTTGAGGGCTGGTAGTCACATACTGTCAAGGGTTTTCAGTACATCAAATGGATTATGTATGTTAAAGCAACAGTATATTTCAACAGATCCTTTTCATCACCTTTCACATCACGAGACACATGCCAAAACAAAGAAGCTACTGTAGTTTGATTTTAAGGGGCAGCACAGGAACCTTAGCAGTCTGAAGTAGACCTCCTAAACATGTTCAATGACTCACGATGCAGTTTACACCAAAAGCGTCTCAGCAGGTTTTTTTAGGCTAGAAAAGGCTCAATAGTCAGTCCTATCACCACACTGCCTTTTAAAATAATATATTTTTCACAAACAGAACACAAGTTAAAAATACCCAGTCTATAGGCCTTTTCTCTTCGCAACAGTGATAGAGTACTTTAATTTTAACACTAATTTAGTTTAGTTTGAATGTTAGGTTTAAAGGACTGGTGCTCCATAGACGAGGCAAATAAGCCACAATGACTGCAGTGGCACCTCATTTTTAAACCCATATAATAACAATGTAGTGCATGTAAAGATTTTACTATTCAGAATGAAGATTCAGTTTGTTTTATGTGCCAGTACAGTCTAACTACACTACAAGGTGTATCCAGTATGGTGTTTGCATTCATGCATTATATCTATAAACCAGTGAAAGAGAGATCAGATAAGCATCTCAGTCTGATGATAATGATTTGCTTTAATAGTAAAGTTAGCTGTACCATTCACATTAGGGTGGAACACTTGTAGTAATGGTCAAACTGTGAACCAGGTTAGTTTGTTCATTTTATTTCCATGCTGGAGAAGGTTGGTCTCCCATAGCTCCTGTACGTGACAAACTGCAAGCTGTTGAGATTCATGTTAGTGATGAAGTGGTTAAACAAATACCACCCACTCCTGCTCAAAGAGTTACAGTATATGATCATGAGACTTATTTCCTGTTTTATTTTTAGTATATTTTACTTATTAACATATTTTGGCCAACGATGCAAGTTTGGAATGTTTTATCTCATGTCTTTCATTTCTACCAATAAAGTCACATTTTCTGGTGTAAAGTCCAACTCCATCTGTACATCATTAATGGCTGTTTATGTAACCGGGTCTCGTTTTGTATATAACGTGCTGTACTCTATCTCGCATTACTCATTTCCTTTACATTTAATACCCACTGTAGCTTTCAGTTTCTCAGTTGCTTTCACAGATCTAAATCATAAAGACACTATGCAGCACTTTAGAGCACAGTGTAACCCTCCAGGGTTAGTAAATATTTTGTATTAACTGTCTTCTATGCATCTGTTTCCTGACACTAGCATGCAGCAGTGGCAGGCTACACCTGGGACAGGTCATCAGTCTATCACAGGCAGATGAGCACATTCACAACCCTGTAGAGTTTCCATTTCACCCCACGGAAACCAGAACAGCCAGAGGAAACCCACACAAACACAATACATA